TAAATAAAATAAAATTGAAGCAAAAAATCAATAATAATTAATATTAATAATAAAGTGTGGGAAATTAATTAGTCAAAGAATTGAAATCCAGCCATTAATAATAAACTAATATTGCTTAAAAGATGTATCTTGGTGCTATGAATCATCAATCCCACTAATTAAACTCCACATTAAAAAAATCCACAGTGAAGGCAATATGTACCATATAATATTATTTAATAATAATGAATATAAAATAATATTAAATAAGAACAAGTGCAGCAAAATCTGTCTTGGAGTACTACTACATATAAAAAAAATATTGATTGAACAGAAGAAAAATGAACAAAAATATGCAGAAACACAAAGCATATATTTAATTGCAGTTTTCACATGGATTGAACTACAAAATAATTCTCAAATTGGAACTAATAAATTTAACCAACTCCAAAACAAAAATATATCAAGATAAATCAAAATATTTTGTCAAGCAAGTTGGAACTAATAAATTTAACCAACTCCAAAACAAAAATATATCAAGATAAATCAAAATATTTTGTCAAGCACTGTGCAGAAAAAACAATAAATGCTACACATAAGAACAACTTCCAATCATGCTATAGACAAAGAACACTAGTTCAATTTCTAACTTTTACCAAAATCTAAGCCAAGAATATGAAAGAAAATATATATATTAATTTTACAAGAAAAAAAAAANNAAAAAAAAAAAAAAAAAAAAAAAACAGCCATTTTCATATGACAAGACATGATGAAAGCAAGCAAAATCCTGCAAAAACAACACAAGAAACCCAATACAAAGAAGCAAGTGTGATGAAAAAAGAAAACAAATCAGTAAAAAAAAAAGGGATAAACAACATGTGAAGACAAACCTATCTGTTAGTTCTGATCACACCATACCATGAAAAAAACAAATACAAAACAAAATAGATCATCAAAACACACAAATCCCCTCACCATGTAAGAAAATTAAACCAAATCAACACCAAAAAAAAAACCCATAAAAAAAAAGAAATAAAACACACAAAATATTCTCCACATGATCATCATTATTTACTAATAACTTATTTCTTATTTTTTTTTTTCCCCACAATTTTATCCTTTTTTCACCATGATGATGTGCCTCCAGCTAGCATCCCACTCCAAAACCCATTTGCTTCAACTTTACCATCCTCAAATTGCTCATCACCACCTTGTTGCCTCTCATGATGATCATCACCAAAAGTAAAAAGGCCAAAATTCTTTGATGATGATGATGATGTTGATCCATTCACATGACCCAAAAGCCCACCAATCTCAAGCCCATCACCCGAAACAAGCCCACCGGCCGATCCGTAAACCGGGCTCTGACCCACGTAATTCCCCGCCTTCAAAAGCTCCATGACCGGCGCCGAAGAAGAAAAATTAGGGTTTTGCGGCCGAACATCATAACCGACAAACTCCGACAACCCAATGCTGTACTGGGCCGGATTATAGGCCAGATTCAGATCCTGGCCCTCATGATGGCCGAAAAACTTAGGGTTTGGATCCGAGAAATTTTCCGGGCCGAGACTTTCAGGCCCAATCCCAATTGAGGCCGCTTTCTTCGCCAACGATGACGGTGATGAAGAGTTATAAGACCTTTTGTTCTTCCGTGAGCCGCCGCCCACCGGAACATTCCTCAGTGTGCCGCCTTGTGTCCAGTACCTTCTGCAGGTTTTGCAGAAGTACCTCGGCTGAGAAAGGCTGTAATTGTTGTAATAACAGAATTTTGTGTTTGTTGAGTTGCATCTCGGACAGTTGATTGCTTGCTCCTTTTCGGGCCTTGGCTTTTTCTCAGCTGCTGGTTTTGTAATATTCTGACAAAAAAAAATAATAATAATAATTTTGAAATTGTAGATACTTTTAATTTGGAGAAGATAATTTTTGTGAGAGAATAGAGATTTATTTGCTTATGTTATTTTCTTTTATATATATATATAGATGACAGAGAAGAAGAAAAAAAAAAGTTAAAGGGAATTTGAGGAGATGATGCTTTATTATTAAGCTCCAAACAGATGGAAACAATTGAGTAAAAAACACTGATGTAATGAAAGCATGCAAGAAAAAAAAGATAGATAAAAAAAAGGTGAGATATATTTTGAATTGATTGAATGAACTCTAATCAACAGCTGGGTATATGGTATAAAGCAAACATCATCACCTTTAGAAATGGTCATCCAAGTTCCAACAAAACTAAAGTAAAGCAAAAGAGAGAGAGAGAGAGAGGATTAGCCCTAGGAAAAATAAAAAAAAAGGCAAAAAAGAAAAAGGAAAGGGAAAGAAAAAGAGATGTTGTCATGATATCATGGAGAAAGAAAGAAGAAAGAGAGATGAAAAAAAAAGCATGTTTTTCAGCTTTACCTGTGTCCACTGAGCAGTATCCATAGCACCAACAGGAAGAGAAAAAAAGAGAGAGAGAGAGAGAGAGATAAATGAAGAGAGAGAAAAGAGGTAAAGGTTTATGAGAAGGTGGTCTTAAAAGCAAGAAAGCTACTACTTGGAAGAGGTTGTGTTTGGCGGTTGCATATGTTTGCTTGTGACCCGCCCGCTGCTAGTGGGGGGGGGAAGGGAATTGAAGGGAACATATAATGTTTTGTCCACTTGTTGTTTTTACTTTTTTCTTTTTTATTTTTGCAACAATCATCTCAAAATTACAACAATATTATGTGGATTACAAATTTTAAATAAAATAAACAAAATTAACTAAGATCATGTTTTTGGATGAGGTTTTAGCCATTGTTTTAAAATATACTTGTCATACCGGTCTAGTCACCGGTACGCGGTATTATTGGTTGGACCGGTAATATCAGTGGTATTACTACTGAATTAGCAAATATAATGATATATATATATAAATATACATAAATAATACTAATGCAAAAAAGTAAAAATATATAATACTAAATGCAAAAAAAAGTTCGATTTGATTCGTTTATAAATATTAATGAATCGAACACGAGTCCTAACAAGCAATAAAATCAGACTTTAACGAGACAAGCAATAGAAAAATATATTAAAATTGTGTTTTAGAGCCTTAACGAGCTTATAATCGAGCTCGAATTAGGTTCGTTTATATATATTAATTAATGAGTCGAACTCGAATCTTAACAAATAAAAATTGAATTTTAACAAGATGAATTATGGAAAAATATATAAAATTTAGCTTTCAACGTACACAAAAATAATCTTTTTTAGCCTTCACGAGTTTGGTTCGTTTATAAATATTAACGAGTCAAACTTGAGTCTTAATAACCAAAAATAGAGTTTTAACGATCATTTTGAACCTTAACAAATCTTGTCGATCCGATCTGAACTCAATTCATTAATGGAATAAGTTATGAATGAGCTGGAAATTAACTCGTCGAGCCGAGTTGAAAATTACAAGCTGACTTATTTAATCTAACAATTCTATGTGTGAGAATTTAAGGGCTATCCATGTGGCTCTACCAGAAATCAAGAGCTAAAAGGCAATAAACGAATTTTTCGTTTTAAAGGGAACTAGGCTCATCATTGCACCATTTAATTTACTCCAAACTATATTTTATGGAACATACTTGGACTTTATTGTTTATAGTATTATTATTTTGTGTAATGTTTAATATTTTAATTTTTGGCATTTCAAAAATAATTTTGATTATTAATGAAAGAACGCATAGAGGCAGTGAGACGTTCACCCAAAGAGATTTTTTATTTTAATTTGCTTCAATTTTTATTTTTGGTGTTAGAACATACTTGCAAACTCCATTTACTCTCATATATCATACGTTTTATAATGCAATTCTTGAGTATTTATAATTCACAATTTTTTTATTTTTTTTTTATTTTTTTTTTGTGTATGATTGGTATAATGTAATGAAAATTAATAGGAGTAGACTGAGTTGAATAATGGAATTAACATGAGAAATTAATGAAACAAGTTTTCCATTGATTTTATTGATATACACAAGGAATAAAACGTGAATGAAACTAATGACATTATCATTCTATGTTGTCATTTATCACTATTTTATAGAAAAAATAATGTTTATATTACTATTTTTTTTATTTTTGACAATAATAAAATTATATTATTTCTTACAAAAATATACTATATTTTAATAAATATATTTTTGTATAGTTATACTCATATATATTATATAATAAATTAGTGAATTGTGTATTCATATGCATATTAACTAAGACAAATATATCATTACATAAAATCCTATAAAAGCATATGTGATTGAATATTCTTTTATATTATAATAAAATTAATTATGAATAAATATATAATATCTGACGTATAAAAATAAAATAATATCCTTCTAATTATTTACAAATGCATTTTTTTGGTTTTATTTTTATATAAGTATTTGATGTACCTAATTAAAACATGAATGATAAATAAAAATAAGTTTTTAAACTTTAAATTGAAATTAATTTTTTAAATTAATTTTATTTAATTATTTTTACTCATTATTTATAGTATATATTATATATTTATTATTATTATTATTATTATTATTATTATTATTATTATTATTATTTGTTAATTTTATTTTTTGGAAACTTGATTCCTACAAATATTGGAATGAGAAACCATTGTATTAACTATAGAATGACTAATCATATGGAAATAAGTTTTGCATTTTCCATTGGATTGATCATTATTTTCAAAAAATAAATATACCAATCATGAGATAAAAAATGAGTAAGAAAATAATAATTTAATTCTCATGTCATTCCATCATATCAATCATGTCGTCATTACGGCTTGCCGTTTAAATTCAAGCAATCCTATATACGTGACCAAACAAAAATAATGATTATAAAATAAACGTAAAATAAGGATCGAATCGTCTAAGCAGCTCGTTTTACTTAGTCATGGTTATCATAATTTGATGGACCGAATTAGGATCCGAGCATGATTATAAGTAGATACGATAATTATAAGTGAACATTAATGTGAAATTGCCAACCCATTAATTGGAAAAATAATTTGTACAGACAGAAGAAAAATAAAATAAAAAAATACCGCACATTCCAGAAAATCATCGAGTTTAATTGCCGTTTAAATTCAACTCATGCATGTTTCAAATTTCGTTTTTCTTTATAATTTGATTTGATATCCAATTTTCATCCTGACTGTATTAATTGTGCATTACTATAATTAGTTTTGATTAATAATTTGAATTAATGTGAACCAAAAACAAGGTAGCATGAGCAAAATTAAATATTATGAATGGATAAAAAGTCACCATCAATATCGTGATAATAATGGACCAAGTAAAAAGGATTAATGCCACTAAATTTTTTAATGAAAATTAATTTGATCAGCAGATTATTATTAGGTTCAATTTAGTATAAGCTGATGCAAATTTTTTCAAGGACAAAGTCACCAAAATATATTGAATGAATCCCAAAGTCAGCAATGCAATATTGTATGTGTGTGTATTTTTTTATTTTTATTTATTTTTTTAAATTTCACATGATAATAGATCTTTAATTGGATATTATATACAAATTCATTTTTAAGACAACCTAAAGTTAACTTGTCATAAAAATGTATATTTTTAAAATATGCCGTTAGACTTTCCCATATCAAGATCTATTATTTTTGTATTATCGCTGCAGTTGCCAGCTTTACATTTACATTTCCTGCTTTTATTTTTGGGTTTTCGTTTGACTTGATATATATCAGACATTGACATGGTGGCCTTCTGACATTTCAACCTGTTTAGAGCCTTTTATATATACACATGTTGGAATTTTGGCCTTAACCTCGCACCCTCATGGGGTGTTGTTTGAAAAAAAAAAAAAAAATGCCGTTTTCTAATAAAATTTTGCAATCTTGTAAAATAACTATGTGGAGTGTTAACACGTAATCTACAAGAGATTATACATATACATTTGCTGCCTAGCTAGGGGTTTTGTCAAACTCAAGCAATTATTGTAGGATATAGTTGCATTGGAATTTTCCAATGACCCAGTTTGTCTAATGATCTTATGAATACTAGATAGCCATTATCCTTGATTATTAAAAGCAAGTAATTAAGAATTTTGAACCAAATTAAGTGATAATCATCATTTCCCATTTATTTTTTTCTTCGGCATGCACTCTATAAGATTAGTCTTCCTCACAATCAAGTAAACAACCGTAGATTTAAGTAAAACGGAGTCAACAACCAATGAGACAGCTCCATGTAAGGTTGCCCCACATAACTTTAATGTGGAACACCCCCATATGAAGTTGTCTCATTAACTGTTGGCTCTGTAACGGAGCCAACAGTTGGCTCACATTACTGTATGAAATATATTTAGATTGTACTGGCCTAAAAAAAATATTTTAATTCATTTAAATAAAAAGAAAATACAATAAAAAACATATGCCAGTGCTTGGACGGCCCATCTCAAAAGCTGACCGTGGTCTACTAATATGCAATGTTTCCCATGTCAAAATTAATGATAATGAGAGGGCAATTACTAATTAGCCTTTTCATTCAAAATTATTATTAAGTTGATCTTGTTTACATTTACAAATACAAATAAAATATGATATCTATTATATGTGTATATAATGTTTAAAGTTATAAGTTAAATAATGAGGGCAAAATTTCAAAATTGGTCCTATAACTTGGCCACTGTCCAAAAAACCACCCCTATATTGACCACTTTCAATTTAGGTCCTATAATTTGTAAATTTCATCAATTTTGGTCCTTTTTATCCGGATCCTGGATTAAAAAGTGACGTGGCATGACGTGTCATTTTTTTAAGGTTACATGGCGTGATTATGATCTACGTGGCACGTCAATTTTGGTCCTATAATTTGTCGATTTCATCAATTTTGGTCCTTTTTTCATGCCACGTCACTTTTTAATCCAGGGTACGGATAAAAAAGGACCAAAATTGATGAAATCGACAAATTATAGGATCTAAATTGAAAGTGGTCAATATAGGGGTGGTTTTTTGGACAATGGCCAAATTATAGGACCAATTTTGATTTTTTACCAAATAATGAGTATTTTACATTTAAATTTTCTTATAATTTGTAAAAGTAAACAGTATAATTATAAATTGCATAAGCTATTTACGACATAAATTGTACTAATAATATTTTTGTGTATATTGAGAGATCGAGACTAACTAATTGATTGTAATTATTATTATTATTGTTTTTAGTATTGTTTTTTTTTTCCAAAACGATAGATTATATTATAAATCAAAATGCACAAATGTGCGAATACACAGCAGCCAACGGCTGAATACACAACAGCCAATAGCTGAAGAAGTGGGAGGACAGGTCCGAAGACCACCTAGAGACCCGGCTAGCAACGGTAGAATAAAACTCCCAACTAAACTAACCAACTAAACCAACTAAAAAACAACAAAAACCACAAAACAACTA